GGCTTTGGCCTCAACTCCGTTGCATTTGCTCTCGCAGCCACGTCCTCTCCTACCAACCACATTGTCCAACTCTATCTCGTTAAAGTTGACTCATTTCCTTGTACTTAATACTATCTCTCTTTCAAGCGCTATAACTGACAACCCAGTCCAGGAATCTCTGAATTACGCAAGGGCGGTTGATGATCTTGCTGAGATCTCTCTGCCATGTTATCCTTCATCAAAACTGTCAGTTTGTGCTGGTACGTCTGTACCAGGAGCTCCAACTTTATTTTCTTTCTATTAAGTGTTTGCATGCAGGGATTCTGCAAAAAGGTGGCTTCCTTTGGTTTGCAGTCATAGGGCAAGCCACTTGTCTACCATTGTTAAGTTTGGATCTGCCCCTTCTCCCAGGGAGATGGGAAGGGAAGAGGGAGGCATTTTTAGTTAGTCTTAGTGAGGAAAGCTAAGTTAGAGGATGTGGACAAGCTTCACCTGCACAAAAGCTTAAGACCATCCAGGGAAACTGAAGTCCAGGAAATTCCAGGGACATTCTGGAGGGAAAACAGCTTTACAGATCCAGAGAACTCCAGCTGGAGAATCTGCAAGCCTTTACTGGTAGGTCTACTTGGTGCTCAAGACGCAGTCTATCTATCAATCTCTCTATCTCTCTATCTATCTATATCCTTCTTGACTACCTTTTGCCCAGAACTGGACACAGGGATATTATTATTCCAGTTGAGGCATGACCAGAGCAGAATACAACAGGATCATGACTTTCCTCAATCTTGACACTATCCTCCTTTTGCTTTCATTGCCACTGTCCTTGCCCAATAAGTCGAGAGCAACCTTTATCTCCTCTTTCTCTCCACGACCCCATCCACCTCACTACCTTTGAGCCACGGCTCTTCTTACTTGGCAAAAGTCTAACCAAGTGAACTTTGCCTCTGCCATCAAGGAAGTGGATGATGGATTTGATTTCATGGCTCTGCATTAACAACTTGGGGGCCCTTGCTGAAGTTGTGCCTGGCTCCTCAAGACACACATAGAGACGCACAAACTCGGGCTGCTCTTCTCCAACTGGGCAATGCAAAGCGGCTAAAACGTCTTATAGGCCCACTGGTTTGAGCATTGGGCTGTGACCCTGGAGACCAGGGTTCGAACCATTGCTCAACTGAGGAAACCCATCGAACTTTTTTTGTAGGCTGGATATACATAGAATCATAGAATCAAAGAGCTGGAAGAGACCTCTTGGGCCATCCAGTCCAACCCCATTCTGCCAAGAAGCAGGAATATTGCATTCAAATCACCCCTGACAAATGGCCATCCAGCCTCTGCTTAAAAGCTTCCAAAGAAGGAGCCTCCACCACACTCTAGGGCAGAGAGTTCCACTGCTGAATGGCTCTCACAGTACACTGCTTTATATGCCAGGATCTGATCCCAGATTATCTTCTTATCATCCCAGATTATCTTGCAGTAAAGGTAAAGGTAAAAGTTTTCCCCTGACATGAAGTCCAGTTGTGCCCGACTCTGGGGTGTGGTGCTCATCTCCATTTCTAAGGGTTGTCCATAGACACCTCCAAGGTCATGTGGTCAGTATGACTGCATGGAGCACCGTTACCTTCCTTCCAGAGCGGTACCTATTGATCTCCTGACATTTGCATGTTTTTGAACTGCTAGGTTGGCAGAAGCTGGGGCTGACAGCGGAAGCTTACACTTTTCCTGGATTCGAACCTGTGACCTTTCGGTCAACAAGTTTAGCAGCTCAGTGCTTTAACCCACTGTGCCACTGGGGGCTCCTGGCAGTATATATCTGGCAGTATGGACTCATAATCCAAAACAGATAATCTGGGATCAGATCCTGGGGTACAGGGCAGTAGATCCAGCTCATGGAGTCTTATCAAGAACACTCCATGACAGGCTGGCCTCAGGGTCTCCACAAATCAGGAATGATGACACACAGGCACAACAATTAGGGCTGATAATAAACAAGATGAATGTGAACTCTTAACACAGCAGAGCAAATATGACTACATAAATATGAAGCCATGGAATGAATCTCATGTTTGGAATGTTATAAAGAGATATAACCTATATCTGAGAAAGAGACCAAACAGGAAAGCAGGAGCTGTTAGGCAGTGGAATATGCTTTCTCGGATGGTTATGGCGTCTCCTTTTCTGGAGACTTTTTATAAAGAGCCTAGATGGTCATCTGTTGGGAGGGTCTTGACTGTGTCTTTTTTGCAAGGAAGAAGGGAGTTAGATTGGATGGCCTCTTGGGAGTCTCTTCTAGCTCTGTGATTCTAGGAGGAGTCACAATGTATATCAAGGATGTTTACACCTAAGAGGAGATTCATGCAAAAATTCATGCAAAAATCATGGTAGCCAGGTTGAGAGAACCTAGGTTAAAAAAAATAGGGGGAAGGAAACAACAAGGGTGCCATTGTAAGGGTCTACTACAAACCCCCAAGCCTGACTAAGGACCTGGATGAGGCCGTCATAGAACAGATAGCCACACATTCACGAAGGAGAGATGTGATAGTCATGGGAGAGTTCAACTATCCTTGCGTTTATTGGAAGACAAACTCTTCCAAGAATACAAAGTCCAACAAACCCCTCCCATGCCTTGCAGACCATTTCATGGTCCAGAAAGTAGAAGAGCAGCAAGGTGACCAGCTATTTTAGATCTGATCCTAAGCAACGGGAAATGGCCTGGTCAATGGGGTGGATGTGGCAGGTTCCTTAGGTGTCCTACAAGAGTTTGTTATGCAGCGGAGAGGAGACACTAGAAGTAGTCAGAGAAGCACACTAGGCTTTGGGAAAGGTGACTTCAGTGAACTTGGAGGAAAACAGAGCACGATCCCATGGTAAATAATATAAGAGAGACAGGGGTTCATGATGGATTGGTGTTTCTCGAGAGTGAGATCTTGGAGGCATAGCTTCAGAGAACTCCAGTGAGGAGAAGGAGGAAACCAGAATGGAGGCCTAAGGAACTTTCAACTGAGCTGACATTTAAAAGGCTAATGTACAAGAAATGGCCAAAGGGAGAAATCACCAAAGAGGAAGTCAAATAGCCAGTATATGAAGGGAAGACATTAGAAAAGCCAAAGCGCCGAATAGACTTTGTTATTGTTGTTATATCCATAGCAAAAGGAAGAACAAGGAAATAGTAGGGTCGTTGAGTACAGGAAAGTATTCAGCACCTTCTTTGCCTCCTCTCCCAAAAGGCTAACAGTACTGAACGTTGGGAAGATGTAGGAGAGGATGCAGGAGAGCACATGTGTCAAACTCAAGACCTGGAGGCCAAGGCTGTCCTTCTGTCCTTTTATGTGGCCCTCCTCTAGATGCTGGACTGCAACTCCTTTATTTCTCACCATTAGACATCAGGATTTGAGCAGATGGGAGTTGTGATAGGGTGGCACCAGGGAGATTTGGGTTTGGATTTAGGGACAAGGTTTGTGGAGATGTTGCCTGACTAAAATGTCCCTTCACCTTTTCCCAACCTCATAACCAAAAGTGCTATTGGTCTGCAATTCCTATTAGGTAAAGGTTTTCCCCTGATATTAAGTCCAGTCGTGTCCGAGTCTGGGGGTTGGTGGTCATCTCCATTTCTAAGCCGAAGAGCTGGCGTTGTCTATAGACACCTCCAAGGTCATGTGGCATGACTGCATTAAGCACTGTTACCTTCCTACCTATTGATCTACTCACATTTGCATGTTTTCAAACTGCTAGGTTGGCAGAAGCTAGGGCTAACAGCAGGAGCTCATACTGCTCCTCAGATTTGAACCTGCAACCCTTTGGTCAACAAGTTCAGCAACTCAGCGGTTTAACCCACTGTGCCACCGGGGGCTCCAGCAATTCCCATTAACCCCAGAAAATAAAAAGTGATGGGAATTGTCATTCAGTAATGTCTGGGGAGCCAAATTGGGTACAAACCGAAGTGCACTGACCACTATCTACAAGAAATTACAATTGGATTCTCCGTCCATGGATTCAATGGCCCTTTGAAGGCAACCATATGTAAAGCGAATGTGACCCTTGACGGAAAAAGGTTTGGGTAAATACAGGTAAAGAGATAACTCAGGAATATCTGGCTAATCTAAATGTCCATGGCCAGATGAACTCTACCCAAAGGTACTAAAAGAACTATAATAATAATAATAATAATAATAATAATAATAATAATAATCTTTATTTAATACCCCGCCACCATCTCCCCAATGGGGACTCAGGAAGGCTTACATGAGGCCAAGCCCAACAGCATATTATAAGGTAAAACAAAACACACTCTTTGATTCTAATCGGGCTCGCTATGAAACACTGAAATCGGCTCAAGAAGCATGAGATTACGGGGCAGTCTGCTGAGGAACTCGCAATATCAGTCCCGTAGGTAACTGTAAATTGCTTCTACGGTGCATCTGTCTAGAATGGTATATCCCATCAAGCCACTCTAAACACAGCGGTTAAGACGTCAGAAACATATCATCGTAACGCTATGGCTGCACTGCTGGGGGTACTATGCGGAAAATCACCTAAGTGCTGGCGATTCACAGTGACACGTCACATACAGTACTACATCATAGCGCTCACAATGTCACATAGAGTATAGCAAAGTTAAGTACGTTATAGAGCATTAAGAAAGTTTAGTGTTGCACCCTATTTCCACTCCCTGACAGCATGCCACCTACCAGCCAAAGTCTACATCTGGCTGTTCCGCAGACCACATTGTAAACGCGATGATATACATCATTTCATACACTTCGCTCTATATGAGCTCTGTGCCGATGTCATAGCATTTTCCGCGACGCAAGGCTAGTACCGACCGTGCTACTTGAGAGACCGACGTGACTAGAGCTCCGATGTAGGGTCAGACCGACGGATAAGTGCTTAAGTCTATCATGAAAGACTATGTCGCCTGTCCGTCTACCCTGCTCGTTACGCCTAGCCTAAGAGCGTTAGACACTGTCACATAGTGTCTAGATCTCT